GTGAGTGTGAGAGTGTGAGTGAGAGAATGAGTGTGTGTGTGTGTGTGAGAGTGTGTGAGAGTGTGTGTGTGAGAGTGAGTGTGAGAGTGTGAGTGAGAGAATGAGTGTGTGTGTGTGTGAGAGAGTGAGTGAGTGTGTGTGTGTGAGAGTGAGTGTGAGTGTGTGAAGTGAGTGTGAGAGTGAGAGTGTGTGTGTCACGGGAAGTGTCTTCATCACAGCTCTCCATCCTCCTGCGTCGCCTGTGTGTGAGGTTGACCTTTTAGAGATAGTTATTTATATGATAACTAGTGCTGTCAGTTGACTAATATTTTCAAATGAATTCAGTTCTGCCCTGATGGGAGGAAGAGAGCTTTCTGTAATGAATTTAAAAAAATTTTTTTACTGCAATTTTATTTATTTGTTTTAAATATTTTTTTGTACTTAATATTGCTGCATTGATGCATTAAATTGACATTATTGACATTTTTGTTTACATTATGTTTATTGTTTCATATTTTTATTTTATTTATACATTGTTAATTTACATTTTCATTATATACAGTATGTAGACACACACCGTTTTATTTATTTTCTATTTGATTTCATTTTATGTCTGTTTAAAGTGAGCCTGTCTATTTTTATTTACATTATATTAATAATAGTGTTCTATTTTATTTTACTCTTTATTTAGCTTTTATTTGATTTGATCTTATCTCAGTCTTATCTCAGTTGTGTTTGTTTATTTTAGATATTTTATATTTTCTTATTTTATATTATAGTTTTATGGTATTTTAATTGTATTTTTTATTTTATTATTCTGTTTTATTTAAATTCTTTTGATTTGATCTTTGTTTCCTGTATGTTTGTGTGTATTTATGTAATTTTTGATGTGATTGTATCTGCGTGTAACCGGAGCTCCTGTCCTCACTCCCAGCTGTTCTCCGCTCTGAGTCATCAGCTGTAGGAGGACTGATGGGGATTTTAGAGAATAATCGACACGTCCTCCATGTGAGTCTAATTCATAATTCATACTTACGGTAATTGTTTTTGCTGCTCTACTTCCCGGCCGTGCTGGTCTGAGTTGCGTTACTTTACTGCTCAGTGGTTTAGTGGTTTGACAGCAGCATTTCCATATTCTGTCATCGCCGCGTTATTATTCTCTCTCTGTTGCTTCCTTTAAAGGGAATTAGGGAATTCTGGGTAACTTATTCTGCATATGCCGTCAGAGTTTCTTCTGAATGCTGACAGATGTTATCTTCTGGTTCTTTCAGCAGGTTTTTACACCCAAGCACAGTCTTATAATGCACTTTAGATTATAGACCAGCATCCACTCAACAAACCTGGAACTCGTGCAGTAAAGCAACGTTTGGCTTTCCTTCAGGTTTACATTGCAAAACAACACCACAATCCTAAAACATGTTTTATTTAACCCGTACTTCATCGGTTTTGTTATCCTAACTACACATGATTATATGGTTAGTTGTGTTTAGGGTGGTTTCCCCCTGACCAGACCTGAATCCCAGCAGAACTGCTGACAGAAAGAAGCTTCTCTGGGAACAAGCAGCAGAGTGTGGAGATCAAGACAGAGAAGGTCAGCGCGGCGTGATGTTGTGTGAAGAGGAAGCTGCATCTCATTATCTGTGAGGACGTCAAACACGCTCTCAAACCCTAAACCAGCTCAGTTTAGCATCGGTCACATGTGACTGCTCAAACCCAGTCCACAGTTCATCAACTCAGAGATGAAAGCGTTTGAGATCACTGCTCTCCTCGCTTCTTGTCTTTCAGAGCGTTTGCTCTCCTACATGCACTGCAGACTCATTATGTCTCTGATGTTACTCATTAAGTTCACAACTAATTAGTGTGGTTTCGAAACATGAGATATGATGTAATCGTGTTGTGCTAAGTTGTGAATTAAAGAAAGAGATTATCCAGAAACGGATATCATTTCATCATGTGCTCGTCTGTATGTGCTTCCGGACCTGCGTGACTCTACTCGATTGTGCTGCATAATGAAACCAGACGTTCGTCATATATAATGAGTCCCTTCAACAAGTGCATATCAGTGAATAACGAGTTTTGGGTTGAACGATCTGTTTACATCAGGGCTGTGCGTCATTCAGAATTCAGTTCAAACTTCAACAAATCAGACAGGATGCAAAATTACAATTTCAATGTGACTAAAGCAGAATCAACATGATTTGAAATTCATATGATGATTTTCACTACAGAAGAAAGCGGTTTCTCTTGTGAAACTCAGAATGTTGAGTTAATAAATTCTGTTTTGAAAGATGCTTAGAAAGCCTTGCATTATGTGGATGGATGGATGGATGGATGGATGGATGGATGGCTAGATAGTCTTTTGATCAGAATTACACACATGTGCTAAGTTCAGTTAGCGTCTCTGAGCTAAACGCAGCAGGTAACGGTTGGACGTGTGTTTTAGACTGGGTTCTTCAGCTCGTGTCGTCCATTAGCACCGTTTGCTGAAAGAGAAAAGTGCTTCTTCAGCAGTCCTTGACTTACGGGATGAAATCGCTGCATTTTAGCACATGCTGTGTTCTTGCAGCTAATTATGTCTGTATGGTGCTGTTTGACGGTTGGCTATTGCTACAAATATACCCCAGCGACTTAAGACTGCTTTTGTGCTCCAGTGTCACATATCTGTTTTATTTCTGGGTTAGTCGGCACTTGAACAAACCCTGATGTAAGTCATGTGCTGCCATGTTTGCATCGGTCCAGTCATAACCCTGAGTTTGAGATGGTTATTGTGGTTTGATTATGATGTGTGAGCGAACAGATTTTTACAGCCTTTCATTTTGAAAAGAATTAAAATTCTGCTCAAGGCAGGACACTGCAGGCAAAAACGTGCACTGGTCAATTTTGAGATTTTGGACAGTTCACAATGTGTGTGTTTTTGTTTTGTTTTTTCAGACTAGAGTAAAGAAAAAATTCCAAGATAAACAATTAAGTGTTTGTTTTATTGCACTTTATCTATTTGCATCTGTAGATGTCAGTTTCAATCCATATTTTTAAACGTTTGTATCTCCTCTTCAGCAGCACTTACACCAAACTTACAGTTGTATTCCTCTCTGTATTCTGAAGGTTTGTTCATATTTCATTCACACTGATTTACTCCTAACAACATGGTGAAAATGTGTCTGCTTTCTGTCTGTGGACAGTATTTTCTGATTTATGGAGTGATGAAAAGAGAAACCCAGAATCCCCTCTGGAAAAACCTTTAATATGACAACAAAATCAGAAGAATTTTGAACCGGGCTTCATCCAGTTCACTTGCATATTTGAACATAAGATTTCAGAAATACAAAACATGTTTGCATTTGTTCACGTGATAGATCAGCTGGGGAAGTACGGTGAGATCTTTACTGCTGTCCTGAGCAGCTGTTAGACCAGAGTTTGTCTGCTATACAGATAACAGATAACACGTGGTGCTTCTGTTCTGACAGAAGTGTGTGTTGTGTTGTGGTGTAGATGAGACGCTCTTCAACTCTGCCAAACAGTTGTGTGTGTGTGTGTGTGTGTGTTTCCATAAGACCTGAGGGGAATAAAAGCATTTGAGCGAGCAATGGCCTTCGGGGGTTGCACTGAATGAAATGCTTTTTTTCCCAATCCCCACCTCACTCAAGAAGCGTTCACTCGTTCGTTCGTTCGTTTGTTTTTTCAGCCTTTATTTTCTCTCTCTTCTTTCTTTCCCCTTCTTGCTTTGAGTTGATCTTTGACATCCGAGCGTGCCCCGGGATGTCTGTCACAAACTGCAGTCCAACCTTGTGACAATGCTTGCTTTCTTCCCGTGCCTTTTTATGACCTTCTTCTTTTTTCATTTCTTTCTTTTGTTTCTGTTCTTTCCTTCAAGGTCTGGCGCACCTGACGTTAAACAGCCAAGGTATGGTTCATTCCGTTTTCCATTCTTTTATTTAGTGAGGAATCAGATCTGTCCGTCTCTCTCCCTCCAAACACTGTCCCTCCTCCCCATCGTACTGTGTTGCTGTGTGTCCTGAAGATGACCTCTGACCTCCCGGACACAGGTAACGCTCTTCTGCTCTCGATGCTGGGGTTGAAATGCTGCTGTCTAATGTCACTCACAGATGAAGGGTGTGTTTGTGTTCAGAATGCACAGAGTCTCATTCTGTGGTCATTCTCATTGTTTGGCAATCACTCGCGCTGTTAATTACGTTCAGGTAGCCTCAGATCTGCTCTGTGCCAGTATGACCCTCAGCACTGACTGAATCAATGTTTGTTTTAATGGTTTTTCTGATGCAATGTGTCTGTTTTATGACTTGACCAGGTCTCAGTACTGCGTTTTGTCTGTTTAACTAAAATCATCATTCTCTCATTATTTACTCGCCTCGTGTCAAACCTGTGTGACTTTCCTCCGCAAAGCAAAAGATAGTTTAGGTGAGGTGAAGGGACATGTGACCCATACTTGGAATTAGTGCTCTGCATTTATCCCATCCAAAGTGCACACACACAGCAGTGAACACACACACACTGTGAACACACACCCGGAGCAGTGGGCAGCCATTTATGCTGCGGCGCCCGGGGAGCAGTTGGGGGTTCGGTGCCTTGCTCAAGGGCACCTCAGTCGTGGTATTGAAGGTGGAAGAGAGCGCTGTACATTCACTCCCCCCACCTACAATCCCTGCCGGTACAAGACTCGAACCTGAAACCTTTGGGTTAAGAGTCCGACTCTCTAACCATTAGGCCACGACTTCCCCATTAAGAAGTGTTGCATTGTTTTTGTCAATACAGTGAAAGTCAATGGGGTCCAAAGTTGTTTGGCTCCCAACGTTTTTGAAAACGTCTTTGTTTCTGAAAGTCACACAGGTCTGAACGACATGAGGCAGAGTGCATGATGACAGAAGGATCTTTTCAGATGCTGTTTGATGACTGCTCTTCACGAGGACTAGTTAGGGCTTCATAATGTTGGTGATTGCAGGTGTCTCTATCATGTGTGTGAAGTTGTGCTCTCATGTGCACACAGATCGTCCAGTTCTTCTGTGGATGCTGTGTTGAGTTGTGTCTGTTCATCCGTCACACTGTTAAACCTGCTTGCATTGGTTTTAAGCTCCAAGGTATTCGTTATTTAACTAATCTCACACTGGTGACTGTGTGTTTCCCTCAGTTGTGTCTTTTGTGTTGGTCCGTGTGTATAAAGCAGGAGAAGTGTTCTCCGTGTTCAGCTCTTTTTTGACTGGACTAGTTTTCCCTGGAGATTCATTTGTTTCACAGACATCTCTCAAAGAACTTGTAAAAATCAGAAATCAAATCTCCAGTTTTTCTCCTCAGGGAAATCTAATCCGGATAGGAATGTCTGTGACTGCCGTGTATTTATCAATTTTTTTACAGTCACTCAGCAATGGTTTTGACGCATGTAACTAAAGCTATGTTTGTTGTTACGTGGTTAGCTGCACTTTAATGATTGATTTAGAGCTGATGTCTGGTGCTGCTGGCGTCCCATCCAACCCAAAACAGAAAAGACCCAAACAGACCACAGTAATCCTCCCTTCCTGTCGTTATTATACTGTATTTTCCAGAATATGTCACGTTTTTATCGTTTGAAACATGCTGAAACTCACACTAAGCAAATAAAAAGCACACAAAACATGCTATAAATAAAATACATGTTTATAAAACATTTTGTTTTATTTATCAACATTATTTATGAATGAAATAGCATAAAGTGACTTATTCGCAGATGTGGCTTATCTGTTTTTTTTGGTTTAGCAGAAAAATACATCACAGATCCTCTTTGTTAATAAAGTCCCTCAGACGTCCTTTAGGAAACGAGCCCGTCGCGATGCAGCTCTCGCTCTCGTGTTCGAGCCGTGCGTCTCCAGATTAGACGTCTGGAGGAATAGTAGCGTGTGCATTAGTCCTGTGACCCGTGTCTGCCCTCTGCCTGTCCCGTTTGAGGAGAGGATTGTTATTCTGGTCAGCGCTGACCTACTGTATTCACATCGACACCAGTGGCTCACGCAGACCGTCCTGAACGCACGCAGACGACTGACGCGTGTTCAGAGGGTCCCTCTTCACATAATCTGCTCTTAAGACAGTCATTCATATTCATGACATCAGTTGGTCCTCATGAATGCAGCATCTGTGAGCTGTGATGTGTTTGCAGTCAGACGCATTAAACATGAGCACCGCACATCTCCAGACATCCTGAGAGACGCTTCACACCGTCTCTGACCATCCACACCTCACAGCAATACAGTGTGTGTGTGAGTGAGTGCACACACTTATGCACACTCACACACACACACACACACACACACACACTCTTACACTCTCTCACACTTACACACACACACACTCTTACACTCTCTCACACACACACACACACAC